TTGAACCATGATCCTCCTGATCTCTGCCTCCTGAGTAGCTGGGATTACAGGTATGACCCACCAGCACCTGGCAAGATAGGATTTTGATGGACTGCTAGCAGTCTCTGTACAGTGTCCCAGTATTGCATCTCTTAGTTAAAGGTGTTTTTTTCTCAAATACCCAAGTCCACATCCATCCTCCATTTCTCCATCTCTCTAGGTCTGCCTCTGTTCCAACTACGTAAGCAAGCCGAGTTGGCTCCATGCGTCCATCCTCTTGTCCACAGCTCTCCTTCTGCAGTGGTATCTGTTGCTTGAGCAGCAGGACACTCCCAGATTACCTCCAGGGTAGCCAGCCTCTCACACTCATCACACCGATCCTTTACTTTGCTGTCACAATCTGCTTCTTCACACAAAGATCTGATTGTCCAAGGCACCTTGGGCCTTTCACAGTTACCTCCCCACTCACAGCCAATGCTGTAAGCACCAAAAAGCATCTGCGCCATTGCCTTCATAGCTGGGGAGGTCAGACCCAACTGCCTCTGACTGTTCCAGATCTTCTTGTCCCTGTCTTGTGGCCTCTCTGCCTCCCACCTGGACTCCCAACTCCCATTACCCTTTGGATTAACCCAAAAGTGGGATTGCCAGCCTGACTCTGTACTGTATTTAGCGCCATCCCTAGACACTGTCCCTCACATGGCCCTCAGCCCCACCTTCTGCAGGTCATACCAGCTCACAAATCCAAGCTCCAGATCTTCCTCACAGGCTCAGGGCTTGTTTTCAGGGGACAAGTTTGGGCAGTGATCATGTCATTGTCTCAGCAAAAGCTCCAGCAGTGCCTGCTGCTGACTACATAACACTTTTTTTAGCATGTCTTCCATGGTCTATAACTGCCTGATCCCATCCCCCCATTACTACTTCTACTGATACCCAGTTAGAATTTTCTTTTTTTGAATAGTACTAGGGTTTGAACTCATGGCCTCATGCTTGCTAGGCAGGCACTTTGCCACTGAGCCACACCCCCTGCTCCTTTTTTTTTTGTTTTTTTTTTTTCATATAAGGACTCGAATTTATGCCCAGAGCCAGCCTGGACCTTGATCCTGCTATTTATGCTTCCTGTGTAGCTAGAATGACAGGCACGCACCACCACACCCAGCTTTCATTGGTTGAAATGGGGGGTCTTAATAATTTTTTTTGCCCTGACTGGCCTCAAACTTTGATCTTCTTGATCTCTTACTCCTGAGTAGCTAGGATTACAGGCATACACCACCACTCCTGACATTTTTCTTATTCCTCTAGATCTGCTGCACCTATAACCTCTTCCATGAGGCCTTCCTCTTTCTTTCTTCTCCCCTTACTTCATGGCAGGGATTGTGGCTTATCCATCTTTTCTCTCTCCATGCTGGTGTGAAAAATGCCTGGGAAACACTTACATGTGATAAGATCACATCATTCTGCTGGTTAAAACCTCTGCTTTCTCAGCCTTCCCTGAGTCCTGTTCACATCACAACACTCCAGATGCTCTACCCCTTTCCCCTGCCTATCGCTTCTCCGCGGTATGGATCACTTCCTTGGAGTATGCATTGTACTCATTTACTGTTTTCTGTCTCCCTTTAGTTCAAATTGGGTCACATCTGTACTCCCAGAGCCTAGGACAACGTCTGGCATATAGGAGGCCTCGATAAACAAGTTGAAAGAAAGAATTATAAGTAACTTAATGGAAGGTGTTCAGTAAATATTTGTTAAGTTGAATTAAATCTTAATTCATCTGTTGGGAACAGCTGACTGTGAAAGTTCCGCCTCTAACAATACATCTGTGTAGTGGAATGATGAAATTGAGTGAAAGCTGCCTGCAAAAAACATCCTGGAGAGAGGATTAGAAGTTGTGTGTTTGTAGTGGGAAGGGCACCCGGGCCGTATCTTTGCAGAAACATATGGTGCTGCCTAATTTCCCAACCAGAGCACTGCACCTGAGAGCCGGGCTTGCACGAGCCGCTTTGCCCAACCACCTCCGTGAGCACGCGCCTGCTCCACAGGCGTTTCCTTTTCAGTTGTTTTGGTCTTTGCCACTCTCCTCAGCTTGTGAAAGACACAGAACTCTGCGGTGGCCTATGCGACACTTCTCAGCTCTAAGTAAGAGACCACCAGTCCTGAAAAAGACAACAGAGCATCTCCCAGAGCCAGGGGTCTTTGGGAAGCAGAGCCCATCTTAGAGCTGTGCAGTGTGGCACTTTCTACCCAGGCTGCACCCTTCCACTGTTCATGTGCAATTTTTCTTCCTGCAGGAGGATGGCGCTCTCATCTCCACGCTCCCTTTTCCCTCGGAGTCTCTATTGTACTTTTTTTTTTTTTTCATGCTTCATCGCTACTATAGTAGACGCCTGCCTTCTCATTATTTGCCGTGTGGATCTCCGGTGCTTTGCCTGTAAACAAAACACTTTAGATCATAGTGAGGTCCCTGTCAGCAGTCTTTCTGCTGGCAGTCAGTTTTCTTAAGGTGGTGTGACCATGACTCGGTTACTTTTGAGATTTAGCAGAGTAACAAAATGGTGTTCCTACGTATTAGTTGAAAGACCCAGCGTGTGTCAGGGATGGAAGTATTCATTGTCTACTTTCACATAGTTGTTAAGACCATGAATAAAATCACTTTTCTGTGACAAGGTAAAATGTCTCCATTTTACATATTATGGGGTAGTTTGTGTATAAAGTACCTATGCAATCTGACAATTATTTTAAAATTTGGACATGAATTTCAGCGGTGGTATTGTTTCAGATATTGTGGGATTAAGACTTACCCTAATTTTCCTGTCCCTTCTTCCCCAGTCCCCAGTCCAAAAAATTAAGTGAGGATGGTAAATATAGAAAAAGTAGCCAGGCACAGGGATTCAGGCCTGTAGTCTCAGCTATGTGGGAGACTGAGGCAGAGCCCAGGAGTTCAAAGTCAGCTTGAGCAACATAGTGAGATCCTGTCTCAAAAAAATGTGAGACCTCCTGCCTGCCTTGACTGCCAGTGAGCTTTTCTGTTAGGTAGGAAGTCCTGACATTGAACAAACTGTGGACACTTCGTCCTTCATTGCTCTCTGGGTGTCACTTGGTTTTTTGAAATCTGGATTTTAGTTAAACCAGTGGATAGGGAGAGATACCAAAGGCCAGTGGCAGCTGCCTTTAAGTACTGGTGACCACAGTGACATCAAGGGGACATCTGCAGTTCACCCAAGAATGGGAAGAAGTCATGTTGTATCCCTCCCTGTAAGACGGTTAGACCTGTAGACTACAGTGCAAACAAATCCACACCAAACCCTGAGTCTGCTGTGCCTCCCAGGGAGGAAAGGAACAGAAGATGACCCAGGTGGAGAGTGAGAACTGCATCTAGTCTTGACTTTGCTACCAACTGTGAGTATGTCCCTGGACAGGAAACCTGAGTCTCAATTTCCTCCCTGGGACAAAGAGGGGGTTAAACCACAGGGTCCCAGAGGGCCTTCCCAACTGTAACATTCAGCATGTAGGAGGCCAGGCTAGTCCATAAAAGGGACAAAGAAGATGTGGCTAAGAAAAGTAAAAAATGAAGTTCACCTATAGCATAGATGCTGTGTACTACTGACACAAAAGGTCAGTTTCCAATAACATTTATTGACTTAGGCCCCAGCCAAGGTGGTCAATATTGTGAAGGGGCATTTCCAGTCCCGTTGAGCCCTGTCTCAGCCCTGACAATCCTGTGGGTCCTGCTTTAACTTCCATCGTGATGTCCAAGAGCACAAGGATAGATACATTTGGAGCTGTGAAGAGGAGCAGAGAAACACGCGAATAGTAAGACCAGACGTTAGGACACGGTTGTGGTGGTTTTATAAATCACTTCAAAATCTCAACTTTGATCGTTAGGGAAATTTCCACCTTCAACAGCTTGCAGCCCTTTGCTTGCATCTGAATATTGTTCTGAGTGGGGCAGAGCAACGATTCGGTGGGAGGGAAAGGGGGAGGAAGGAAGGAGTTGTTGTATTTGGCGGCTGGACGCAGGTAAAGGAAACGGCTAGAGCCCGGGAAAGAATTGAAAAGTATCAAGAGGCGAGTTCCCACACGCAGCCGGTGTCAGTGGCCTTAACCGCGCTGGGGAAGCCAGAACCTGAGTTGCGGTGGGGGGAGGGTTAGCCTTGCTTTTTTCAAAACTAAATGCGTCTGAAACGGCTACAAAGTGTAGGAAGGAACTTGAGAGCCCAGTCGATCTTTATTTTTTAGGGAGGGAGGGCTTGGGCTGGAAACACGTTATAAATGCTGCGTATACTCCTTGCTAATTTATGGGAAGTCGTCGCCCTGGATTCTTCCCTAAGCCCCCGGGCCTCTCCTAGGACAGACAGCAGAGACCTCTGGCTTAAGGCTCAGCTAACCACTGCCTACCACTCCGCCCTCAGCTAAGGCACCAAGACAGGGGGCTCCCAGGCTCCTGGCCTCGGTTTCCCGTCCCTCCCCTCCCCTCCCCTGCAGCTCCCGCCCCTACCCCGCAGCCTCCAGCATCCCCGGCTAGACAAGAGTGCGTGCCAAACGATCAAGCCATCGAGGCTCAAAACGCGGGGCCAGCCACCTTGGCACTCCCTGGGTCCAGGCCCTGAGTTTGGCGGGCGGTCGCAACTTGGGGACGGTGGCGCTCCAGCCTGCGCAGCGCAGCGCCTGGACCCGAACCCCGGGCCGCGCCGGCCCCTCCCCAGCTCCGCGGCCGTTTGGCTTGCTTGTTTGTCTTATTTTTAATTTCTCCGAGGCCAGCCAGAGCAGGTTTGTTGGCAGCAGTACACCTCCAAGCAGTCACGCGACCAGCCAATCTCCTGGCGGCGCTCGCTCCAGGGAGGCGGCGCGCTCGGGAGCGCGCACAGGCGTCGGCACCGCGCCGGGGCCACCTTAAGACCGCGCTCGCCAGCCTCGGCTGGGCGGCTCCCGGCGCCGCAACCAATGGATCGCGTCCTCTGTTTAAATAGACTTGCAGTGTCAATCATCTTCTTCTTCGTCAGCCTCCCTTCCACCGCCATATTGGGCCACTAGAAAAGGGGGCTCGTCTTTTCGGGGTGTTTTTCTCTCCTCCCCTTCCCCCCACTCCCCTTCTTTTCTCCGCATTTTCTACCCCCGGCTCCAGGATTCGGACGGCACCAAGGTTTGGAGAGCGGCTGGGTTCGCGGGAGCCGCGGGCTTGCACCAGCCTGGACTTGGACTGGCTTTGCCACCTCCTCCTTCCTCCTCCCCTCTCCCTTCCCCGCCCTCCAGCTCGCCCGTGCACTTGATCGGCCGAGCTTGGGGCTGCCTGGCCGGGGCGTCCCCGCTCTCCTCCCCCAGACCTGCGCGCTCCTGAGGCTCGGCCACTACGTCGCCGGGGTTTGTTGCTCTTGGCTCGGAGCGCAGTCGCAGAGGGCTTCTGAGAGCCGATCGGACTGCGCCTGGGCGTTTTGTTTTGTTCGGTTTTTTGTTTTTCTGAGAGCGAGTGAGCGAGCGAGCGGGGCGATCGTCTCTGCAGCAGATCGCAAGGAAGATGTCAAACGTGCGAGTGTCTAACGGGAGCCCGAGCCTAGAGCGGATGGACGCCAGGCAGGCGGAGCACCCCAAGCCCTCCGCCTGCAGAAACCTCTTCGGCCCGGTGAATCACGAAGAGTTGACCCGGGACTTGGAGAAGCACCGCAGAGACATGGAAGAAGCAAGCCAGCGCAAGTGGAATTTCGATTTCCAGAATCACAAGCCTTTGGAGGGCAAATACGAGTGGCAGGAGGTGGAGAAGGGCAGCTTACCCGAGTTCTACTACAGACCCCCGCGGCCCCCCAAAGGCGCCTGCAAGGTGCCAGCGCAGGAGGGCCAGGATGTCAGCGGGAGCCGCCAGGCGGTGCCTTTAGTGGGGTCTCAGGCAAACTCAGAGGACACGCACTTGGTAGACCAAAAGACTGACCCGTCAGCCAGCCAGACGGGCTTGGCGGAGCAGTGCGCCGGGATAAGGAAGCGACCTGCCACCGACGGTGAGGACACTTTCAGAGTCGCCAAATGCCTGTCTGTTTGTCTGTCTGTCCGTCCGCCTGGACGCCGCTTTGCCTGCTCGATCGTATTAACCTACTCTAGCTTTAGCAGCGAGTTCTGGTCGAGCTTTGGGGGCGCAAACTTTGTTAAACCGATGCTACCTGGCTGACTGCTGGCTTGTTTGTAATTTTGAAGTCAGGTAGTAAGATCGATCATGTCCCCCAGCCTAACACTTTGCAGGTCCCCCCCCCACTCCCCGTCGCCTCCGCCGCTAGCCAGCCAGCTGTAGGTATGCGACCAAGTTGGGGTGTTTATCAGCAGTCTCCCTGAGGACTGCACAGAGCTGTGGGGCGTAACATATACTTTCTGTTATATGGAGACAACCTTATTCTGTGTCCTTAAAGGCCACTGGGGACCGATCCAGGGTTGTGGGTGGAGGTGGCGTGCTTTTCATCCCCTGCCTATTGGGCCAACTTTCCTCAGCTATTGTTGTTGCGAATAAAGATTGTTTGTGTGTGTTCTTTTTACAATCTTCCCTTGTCTTTAGAGTCTTCTACTCAAAACAAAAGAGCCAACAGGACAGAAGAAAATGTTTCAGACGGTTCCGCTAATGCCGGTTCTGTGGTGGAGCAGACACCCAAGAAGCCGGGTCTCCGCAGACGTCAAACGTAAACAGCTCGGTGGGTTGATCATTCAGAGCGCAAAACTGTCACTGCATCTGGGCTGCACGCCCTGTGGGGCCTGCACGCTCCACAGTACCAGGTCTTACTGGCTGCTGACACGGTAGTAGCTTGCTGAGTTTTTTATTTTTTGAGGTCAAAAAAGTAGCAGTGGGGAAGGCTGGGCGCCACCCTGGGGGATACTGTAACTCTTCGAAGTGTCTACGTCCCAAGATGATTTTGCCTTGAAATATTAAACAACCAGAGCAAGTGCCCCACGCAAGTGCTTGTAACCAAGGCCCCAACAGCCACATCGTCATGAGTCCCACCAAAGCGTGGGGAACAATAGATCTTTCCCCATCTGAACAAGAACTGGGGTACTCCCCAGTCCCACTTCATGAGAATTCATTTCCCAGGGGTTCAAATCGAATCACTAACGGATTTCTGAGCTGTACACGGAAAAATGGCTAATACATGATTACATTTAAATTTCGAGAGAAAAATTAGGTACAAAAAGTTCAGATTTGGTTAGGCAAGGGATTCGGGAGGTGAATAGAAAGGCGAGCTATATTTTATCATTTTCATAAGTTGCCTTTTCTCCTGTTTCCTGGGAGTTTTGGGGATAGACAAGGAAAGTTTTGTTTGTTTGTTTGTTTTTTTAAATGGAAAGTTCAAAAATACTAAAGTTCCCTACAGATTTTCTGATAACACTGAAGTTTTTGCAAAGCAGAAGTTAACTGGCAGAGTAAGCAATCCAGTAACACGTCAGCCTGTATGCTAATCGTGCTGGAACAGATGATTTGGATATTCGGAGGGGAAGTGGATGTAGACATTACCACTGTCCAGGGGTAGTTCTGCCTAGCGCAAGTGGAGATTTTCCAAGTATGAAAATCTTATCACCCTGAATAGCAAATTGGAATAATTCAGCCTCCCAATTTACATCGATGCAATGTCCATAGTGATCTAACTACATATATTGTTAATAAGCTTCTTTATAAACAAGGACTGTGACTTCTTTTTTTTCCCTCAAAGTACACTCAGACCCTAGTGTATAAAGAGATCTTAATAAGTGTCCATGTTAACTTTTTAAATCCTCACTTAGAAAAAATTTAAAAATAAATTACTGACCACAGGGATAAGGTAGGATCCAATGTCATCGTGTTTTTAAGTCATAATTTGACTTCTCCACGTATAGCTCATATTTTTCAGAGCTAATACAAAATAGCACTATAAACTCTCTGTATTATACCTCTCTATAAAGGGAGAAAATTGGATGGAAATTTTTCATGAACAACCCTAACAACCAGCAGCTTTTGTGGGTTTGTGCGACTTGTGACCTGGCTCCTCAAATAAGCCATGGGAGCCATTCTACTGGATTTTTACCTGGCCCACTGTGACACACAGAGAGGACGTTGCTGGTAATATTTCTAGTTCAAGAATACTAGAAACTGTCAGAACCTACTCAAAAACATTCATCTGTTCTGCACATGAATAAGAAATTAAAGTATTTTTTAAAGTGGATGTTAATAGAATTTTCCTCTGGAGGTCTTTATAAGTTATATCTCCAAGCATTTTTCAAATTTAGAAGCAATTGGTTTCTGAATCCCTTTTCTTCCTATCTTTGACCCAGATTCTTTAGACAAGACTTTCCCAGTCTCTGCAACTATTGACATTTTGGGTCACATAATTCTTTGTTGTGGGAGGCTGTCCTGTGCATTGCAGAATGGTTGATATCCTTTGCTTCTCCTACTGGAGGCCAGTAGCAATCCTCTTCCCCAGTTCTGACAACCAAAGATGTCTCTAGACATTTGGAGATGTTTCTTGGGGTTGGTGGGAGGTGGGCAAAATTGCCCCCTTGTTAGGAACCACTGTTCTGACACAAAACAGAGGATAGCAAAAATCCGTTAAGACAGTTTTTGGTACATACTCCACACCCCCTCCATCACTATTTATTTCTCAACCAAGGCAGTAACAGAGGAATTCCTCTACTTTACTGATAATGTTACTCCAGTGCCTTACCCCTAATTCTTCTTTCTTGTTTCATTTGCAGAACTCAGAATATGTTTCCTTGTTTATTAGATACGTCACTGCTTGATGAAGCAAGGAAGATATACATGAAAAGAATTTAAAGACATATCGCTGACTCCAGCAGAGGACATCTTGTAAAAGCACTGAACAGCAAGAACACAATAACACTAAAATGTTAGGCACTCTAAGTGATCTGCCTCTAAAAGCGTTGGATGTAGCATTGTGCAATTAGGTTTTTCCTTATTTGCTTCATTGTACTACCTGTGTATATAGTTTTTACCTTTTATGTAGCACATAAACAGTGGGGGAAGGGAGGGCTGGGTGGGGCTGAGCAATTGGTGTGGGTGGGGCTGAAGAAATTGCTTCACTTTCTAGCAAGGAGAAGACTAGCTGACTTGCATGAAGAGAAGCAATTTTGGGGGAAGGGTTTGAATTGTCTTCTTTAAAGATGTAATGTCCCTTTCAGTGAGAATGGATACTTCATTTTTTAAAAACCATCAAAATTTGAACACTGGCTACATAAATAGTTGCTATTTATTTTTTACATGAAGCTTATTCTCATTTGGAAATTGTAACAATTCCGTTATGTAGCAGCAAATGGCTTACACACACACACACACACACACACACACACACACACACATACACACACAGCAACAAAAAACTACCCTTTTTGTTCCCCCTCAGTCTCCCTTAAATTTGGAATTGACCAGTTACAATTCTAGGCAAAAATATGGGGTATATGGTGAGGAATTCTGAAATGTTCAGAATTGACCATTTCATACTTACAAAATTTGTTGAGAAAATTTCGTAGTTTCTTTCGCTATATATAATTACAGCCAAAATAATTCTGAATCCTTGGATAGTTTATAAAGGTCTATAACTTCATACACACACACACACACACACACACACACACACTCATAAATAATGAAATAATTTTTAACTGAAAGCTTCTTTTGTTATTTTGCCCAAAGGAAAGATTTTTGTTTGGTTGGTTTTTTTAAAGGAAGGCTCATATAGAAAAAAAGACTTGTGGAATAAATGAAAAGGACACTTACTACATGTTTAAACAGTATTTCTCCATTGCCTGTGTATGTGTATGAAACAAACCATTTGAAGTGTACCTGTGTACATAACTCTGTAAAGACACTGAAAAATTATACTAACTTATTTATGTTAAAAAGAGATTTTTTTTTTTTAATCTAGACAATATACAAGCCAAAGTGGCATGCTTTGTGCATTTGTAAATGCTGTACTGGGTAGAATAGGTCCCCCCTTTTTCTTACATAATATGGGTATGCTTAAAAGGTTGCATACTGAGCCAAGCATAATTTTTTGTAATGTGTGAAAAATGCCAATTACTGTTCCACATCAAGCAATCAATAAAGAAAACTTCCATAGCTATTCTCTGAGTGGCTCTGTAATGTGCCCTACGAAGCTTGAGGACTCGGGTCTGGCATTCCAGTCTTATTTACACAAATTAATGTGAAATGACAAATATCTAGAAAATTTAGGGCCACAATTCTCATGATGACTTTAGTGGGTCAGAATGGAGTCAGTAATGACTGTTTTCCACTTAATACTGAACGGGTAGACAAAACTTTATCAGGAGAAAGTGGAAAAGCCACATTTTCATAAATACTGTTGAAATATCCATTAGTTAAAATATTCTAGAATATGAATGTGTCAGAAGCAAAAACCCTTACATAAGTGTAGACTGATCTCACATTTGCAGGGCTGAAAATGAAAGTAACATAATGACTTCTCTAAGTGCTGTATTTACACATTTGGAGTGTTGGGAGGTGTTAAAAACAATTATCCAGACTATGTAGTCTACTAATCTTGCCCCAAATAGTCAAACATACTTTTTTACAAAATTGATGTTTATTCCACACTAATTTAAGTAGGTATTTGTCAAATGATACTGGTCATCCTATAAAATTTTCTCAATTTTTGAATATCCTGGTTATAATCTACACATCCAAAAACTAGCTAATCAAAACTCAAATTTTGATTCTTGGGTCTTTATATTCATACAACAGAAAGGGAGAGATTTTTTTATTTAGGAAAAAAAAAAGACAGCATTTTAAAGTCGGATTTATCAAAATGATTCTTGTAACTCCATATTCTTAAAAAAATGTGGTTAGGGTGTAAACATAAATTTTTACCTACTGAACTTTGCAAATGGGTAAATTGCAAAAATAAGAATTTGACTTAAGTTGTCTCACTCAAATACTAGTATTTTACATCACTGTACAACAAAAAAAGGCTCCAAAAAAAGATACTTTCAGCAGTTTTTGACCCGAAGATTTTTTTTCAAAGTTGATTTTTCTTCCTGTGCTGGAAAGGGAGAAATAGGCCTTTTGGTGGTTGGACCACGTTCTTCAAGTAGGTATTATTTTAATCCAAGACCTAAAGGTGTTTTTGTGATTCTGTTTAAAACACGCATACAGGGTGTTTTTCAGGAAGAGACAGCAAGAAAAACTATTGAAAATGGGGAGGAAGGAGTGGAAGGTCAGGAAATAGTGAAATAAAATGAAAGATCCTCTGAGAACAGTGTACTTTAAAAAGTGTCTTTAGCAGAGGACAAGCATCCTCTCAACTGCGTGTACCTCATTTTCCTTTCATAAAAAGGTCACTTTAATGTGAATTTGTAGAGACTACGTTTTAGGAATGCTAGCCCGGGAAGTGGATGCTGACTGCGCCAGGCGCGTTCACAGGCACGCAACCCCCAAGTCGCCGTGTCCTCCATCCTTTGAACGTCGGTGTCAAGCTTCCCCCAAACGACCCTTCGGATTGTTCTCCCCGAGGTCTGGGACGTCGGGGTCCGCAGCGAACGCCCCTTTGGAGGAGATGCGGCCGCCGGCGCCAGTCACCCGCTGCCCCGCCAGCCGGTCCTTTGCGCCGTCGACTCTCCAAGTGTCCCGCAGCCCAGCTCCCAGCCCGCACGCTGGCAGCTGCAGTTGCGGGGTCCCCTGGCTGGGGCGTGGGGACCACAGCCCCACTCCTCGTCCTCAGCTCGCAGATCCCTCACTGTCCGGATCACCGCGCGCAGTTCCCGCGCCCCGGACGCCCGCAGGCCGCGGAGGGGGCCGCTCCTCTGGCCGCGCAGCGGGGCCGGGCGGTTTCTCTCAAACTTTCCTCCTCCATCATCTCTACTCGGGGCTAGGAAAGCAGCGAGAGCCCTCAGTCCTCTCCACCCGAGTCCCCTGTCGCCTCCTGAGCGCTGGGGTGGGGGTTGAGGAAGGGGAGATCCCCTCGGAATTTGGGGACCCTCCAGGGCGGCAGTCCGCTCCCACCCCTACCCCGGGCTCCAATGATCCGCAGCCCCGCGCATTTCGAAAGGCTTCCCGGCTCGCGGGCGGCGAAGGAGAGCCACAGGGGCGCGCGGGGCCCGCGAGGGCCACGGCCGCTTTCGGGGGTCGCCTCTGCGCGTATCCCTTTCTTGCAAAGTCCCCCCAGCGCGGGGACCCCGGCAGGGAAGGCCTGGGGGAAATGTGAGCTGGGGGGCTTAAACGGGGGGACTTGGAGGACTGGGGGACCGTGGATTCACCGGGAGGACTGGGGAAGCAGGGCAGGCGACCTTTC